CCCCAAAACCCCAAAACCCCAAAACCCCAAAACCCCTCTTTTTAAATAAAAATTGATAATTGAGATATGGAGACATATAGTTTAGATGTAAGTGACATATTAAAGCCAACAGATGTCACTGAAAGGAAATCAAAAATCATCTGCACTCTTGGCCCGTCTTGCTCGACTCTTGAAGTTTTGCTACAAATGCTAGATGCTGGTATGAACGTCGCAAGACTAAACTTCTCTCATGGTGATCATGAATCTCATGCAGAAATGGTCAACAAATTGAGGGAGGCTAAGAAGCTCAGGCCAGGCAACTCCTGTGGGATCTTACTTGATACTAAAGGACCAGAAATCAGAACAGGATATTTGAAGGATCACAAGCCGGTTTCTTTTACAAAGGATCAGGAGCTTGAAATCTTGACTGATTACGAAATTGAAGGGGATAGCACCAAAATAACTTGCAGTTATGAAGCATTGCCCACCACAGTCAAACCTGACGACCAGATTCTCATAGCTGATGGTGCTGTAGTCTGACATGTCCTTGAATGTTCCAAAGATTCAGTGAAGGTTAGAGTCATGAATGATGCCACTATTGGGGAGAAGAAGAACATGAACTTGCCAGGCATAGAAGTTCAATTACCCACACTGACAGAGCAAGATGAATTAGACCTGGTGGATTTCGGTATTAAGGAAGGAGTAGATATTATTGCAGCCTCTTTTATCAGAAAAGCATCTGATGTAGAATACATTAGAGATGTATTGGGACCCAGAGGAGCATACATCAAGATTATATCCAAGATCGAGAATCAAGAAGGATTAGAAAATTTTGATGAGATCTTGAAGGTCTCTGATGGAATTATGGTTGCAAGAGGAGATCTTGGAATGGAAATTCCCACAGAAAAAGTATTCTTGGCTCAAAAATACATGGTTCAAAAATGAAATTCTTGGTCAAAACCGTGCATTGTAGCAACACAAATGTTAGAATCAATGGTTAAGAATCCTAGACCAACAAGAGCAGAGGCTAGTGATGTTGCTAATGCCATACTTGATGGAGCAGATTGAGTGATGCTCTCTGGTGAGACAGCTGGAGGGAAATTCCCAGTCCAAGCAGTAAAAATGATGGCAAAAATTGCAACTGAGGCAGAAGGAACAATTAATTATCCCAAATTACACCTAGAATTGGTTAGCAAATCTCCTACTTTAATCGAGACAAATGAGCTCTTGGCCTCAGCTTGTGCTCAAGCTGCTTTTGGATTGAATATAGACCTTATCATTGTCATAACTAGAACAGGAAGGATGGCTAGATTGGTGTCTAAATATCGTCCATCTCAAAAGATTCTTGCATGCAGCACTTCTTTTCCAGTGGTTCGTCAAATAAATCTAATGAGAGGATGTATTGGATACAGAGTCCCTTCCTTCCAAGGAATCGATAAGATTCTACAAAATCTCATAAAGGCTGCCAAGAGCATGGGCTATTGAAGTTCAGGTAATGTAGTTATTGCCCTAAGAGCAAACAGTGATCACAATCAAGCCCAATCGAATATGATGGAAATCTTTGAAATTGAATAAGCATTCATATTTTCTATTTATATTGAAATTTAAGGGGTTTTGGGGTTTTGGGGTTTTGGGGTTTTGGGG